TGGGTGCGGGAGAAGCAGAAAGCGCCAAAGCAATGGTGAATCCCTGAGTGAGGGCAACTGTGAGATGTACCGGGACCGGTAAAAGGCCACCACAGCCACTGAGCTGAGCCACAGTTTAATCCTCCTGAGACCACTGAGCCACAGCGGTTGGTTCCTCTCCATCACCTGGTTCCTCTCCATTGTCTGGTTCCCCTCCATTCGTTCTTTCCCCTCCATCATTCTCCTCTCCATCACTCTCCTCTCCATCATTCTCTCTATCATTCTCCTCTCTGTCATTCTCCTCTCTGTCAGTCATTCTCCTCTCCATCGTTCTCCTTTCCGTCGTTCTCCTCTCCATCATTCTCCTCTCCATCGTTCTGCTCTCCATCATTCTCCTCTCAACCATTCTCTCCATCATTCTCCTCTCCATTGCTCTCCTCTCCATCATTCTCCTCTCTATCATTCTCCTCGCTGTCATTCTCCTTTCCATCATTCTCCTCTCTATCGTTCTCCTCTCCATCATTCTCCTCTCTATCGTTCTCCTCTCCATCATTCTCCTCTCCATCATTCCTTCCATTGTTCTCCTCTCCATCGTTCCCCTCTCCAGCATAAGGCACCTTCATGTCCATGTCTGGGATGGGGACGTTCAGCTGCAGAGATAGACTTTCTTGCCAAGAAGCCTCCTGGAAGACAGATGGATGGATGGACACACACACCAGCACCGCCGCCTCTGCTGTGGATGAGGATGGACACCAGACCTCCAAACTCCAACTCACCTTGGGGGAGGACACCCAAAAATTTGCCAGGAGCCTCTGACACGGGACAGACATGTGCCTCCTGCAGTGCAAGGGCTTTGAGGCAGAACAAAAAGCCTGGCAGCAGGAAAGCCACCGCGCGGCTGGGCACCGTGTCCCTCTGCCAGGAGCACGGCTAAATTTGGCAGCTCAACCCAACCAGATCTTCATCTTCTTCCCTACGGGGGAGAAGGCAACTGCTGTCTCCATTTCAGTGCACAAAGACAACGCCGGGCCTGGCAGGGGACATAAATCGGTGTCGCTTGGCTGCCTTGGGCTGGTTTCAACTGGGTGACCCTTGGGACAGGGACATCAGGGGGGTGGGGAAGGACCGGGCTTCGGGGACTGGTGCTGGCAGGTTGCGCCCCAACCTCCTCCAGTGTGGACAAACTGGAGACGATGTCCCCACGCATCATCAATGTGACCTTGCTGGGGTAAGGGCTGTCCAAGAAGGTGGGGTTGAAGAACTTCTGCCGAATCGGCTCGTGGTCCTGCGCCACGCTGAGCTCAGTGGCCGTCACCTCTGGCCAGGTGGCAGGCGCAGCCAAGGGAGGAGTCAGGAGCATCCTTCCTCCCCCAGTACCTAACACCACCTCAGTAAGCCTTCTCCAGGCTTTCCAGCCATGGCTTTCCACCAGCAAAGTCCTCTCCCATGCCAGAAGCCACAGGTTGAGATCTCCCTGCGACACCAATGCCTCCAGATGGGTGACAGCCACCAGCTTTTACCACCACCCCCCAACCCAAAAGGGACATCTCCCTCCGGAGATTTTGCTTTGGATGTTTGTAAAGGGGCTGATTCCACCCCACCCACCCTACGACCCAACCAGCAAAGAGGAAGGTTTGCAGCAGGTCTTCCACGTTGAGCTCCTCACAGATCGGTTTGTACTCTCTGATGTTCTCCTTGCTGCTTTCCAGGAGGCGCTGGACTTCAGGCGAGATGTCCTCGCTCCGTTTGGCTCCAACTCACTGTAGGTGAACAGGTCCCGGTAGATGTACGCGAAGGCTCCATCCTCCGTCACCTTCGGGTTGAGCTGAGGCTTCGCGTTGGCCATCCCACCGTTTGGCTGAAAGGGTTAACGCAGCGATGTGGCTACGTCCTCTCCTCCACTGGCTGCACCAAAGGACCAACCCTTGTCATCAAACAAGCCAAGCCCAGAGTCCTTCGGAGATGGAAATCCCGGACTTTAAATGCTGATGGTGGGTGCAAAGTGCAGCTCTCTGCCACAACCAGCTCCAAACTGCTGGAAAATCTCCACTTCCAGCCTCCTCCCCTCCTCCCATCGATGGTTTTGGGAAGAAACACCCATTTTATCAAAATTCTCCTGGCTTTTGGCTGCGCAGGAAGAACCACACAGCTCTTCTCCACCGAGATCATCCCTACAGGGGACCACCAAAGCGTGGCCCTTTCACAGGGGGGTTTGGCAGCCACTTTTCTGCCCATCCTTGCCCCATTTTGGAGGCCCACAGAACCAGTCTGCCCTGGGCGCCCAGTCCTGGCTCTCCTCCAGACTGGGCTCCCCACTGCCTCTGCTCCTCTTTGGCATGGGTGAACGGGGATTCCCACAGGCTGGATGTCACCGTGGGCACCAGCGGGTTGGCACGGACAAAGGCCTCGCTCATGATGAAGATGATGAAGTAAATGGCCATGATCATACTCAAGGTCTGCCCTTCTTCCTTGTTGGGGACAGGGACCATTTGGTTGATGGTTGGTAGTTGGTGGTGGCCACCACCCCAGCACCAAGCCCCAGGGGAGCTTCTCAGCGTCCACAAGGAAGGAGTCCCTCGTGCACCCCACATCCCTCCCAGGGGAGGCTCAGCCTCAGCTGTCCCCGAGCCCCCACCCCGGGGTGGGCTCACACCCTGCTGCGTCCTCACTGGAAGGTCTCATAGATGTCCAGCCAGCGTCCAGCGTGCCACAGGTGAAGACCGAGTACAGGACCTTCCCCAGGTCACCAAAACGGGCAGAGACAGACTTGCCAAACAGGATGATGCCCAGCGCCGAGAAGATCTGCATGGAGACAGTGATGGGGCTCCCAGCACCTTCGCCGTGCTGGGAAAGGTGCTCAGCATCCTCCAACCTCCAGCACTGGGGCTCTCTGGCATGAGCAGGGGCTGGCCAAGCTCCATAGCCTCGGTACTGGGAGCTCAACCCCAGCCCTCCCCAGCATCCTTGAGCCTGCCAGGGAGGTGGGATGGGCCAAGGTGGTGGGAATGGACCATCTGCTGTGCCTGCTGTCCCCACAGTCCCCGAAGCGCTGGGGCCAACACTGGACCCCATTGACCAAGACGCTTCCCTAAGCCGATGCTCCCAGCCCGGGTGGGTGTTTCCCAGCCGCTGACCAGCACGGCGATAAAGAGGATGAACATGATGTTGCCGAGGTTGGGGATGACCTCGAGGATGGCCTGAAGCACCCCGACCAACCCCTTGACCAGTCTGCAGACCTGCGTCAAGGCGAGAGATCCCATCGCTGCACTGACCACGGTGCGGGAAGGAGCCAGGGGACCTGGGTCCCCTCCCGGCCTCTCCCCTGAGGGTCTGGGGAGGGTCTGCACTGCACCCCCAGACCAGGGTAAAAAGTGAGGGTGAAGAGCAAGCGATGACGTCGCCTTTCCCAGCACGTGTGGGGTGGTGGCACCACGCTTGGACCACAGCATCTCCGCTGAGACCAACACGGGGACACCGGAGGCTTTGGGGTACGGCACCCCATGTCCTCGCTCACCTCAGGATCTGGAAAGTCTTCTGGATGTTCAGCTTGGGGATGAGGACCCCCACCACGAAGCAGACCATGAGGAAGAAGCTGAAGATGTTCCAGCCATCCTGTGGGCACAGGAGCAGGGGGCTGAGGCTGTGGCACTTGTCAACCCCAAATGAGGGCCCTTCCCCTGATGTTCCTCCCCCGGGAACATCCACAGGGGAAAGGGGACTGCAAGGGGTCCATGTGCCCCATGGCTCTGCCCAGGCTGGGGGCACAACTGGCCTGGTAGCAGGTGATGGGCCACCAGCTGAGTACAGGTGGCCAGCAGCCACAGCGCCAAACATCCCTGCACCTGGGGTGGGGACACTGGAGGAGGTCCCAGTCCTTCCTGGGGGGGCACTGGAGGAGGTCCCGATCCTTACTGGGGCCAGTGGAGGTCCGGATCCTTACTGGGGGGCAACCAGTGGAGGTCCTGGTCCTTGCTAGGGGGACACTGGAGGAGGTCCTGGTCCCTCCTGGGGGGGTACCGGAGGAGGTCCCAGTCCTTACTAAGCGGTGACCAGTGGAGGTCCTGGTTCTTGCTGGGGGTACACAGGAGGAGGTCCCAGTCCTTCCTGGGGGGGACACTGGAGGAGGTCCCGATCCTTACTGGGGGGCGACCAGTGGAGGTCCTGGTCCTTGCTAGGGGGGGACACAGGAGGAGGTCCCAGTCCTTCCTGAGAGGACACTGGAGGAGGTACTGGTCTTTGCTGGGGGGACTCCGGTGGAGGTCCTGGTCCTTACCAGGGGGCGACCAGTGAAAGTCCTCGTCCTTGCTTGGAGTGGGACACTGGAGGAGGTCATGGTCCTCGCCGGGGAGCACCGGAGGAGGTCCCGGTCCTTACCGGGGGGCGACTGGTGGAGGTCCTGGTCCTTGCTTGGGGTGGGACACTGGAGAAGGTCCTGGTCCTTCCCGGGGGGGCCCTTGGAGGAGGTCCCGCTCCTTCCCGGGGGGGGGCA